GGCCCTTCACAGCCCCCGAGCCCCCAGACAGATGTCAAATACAGAAGGGAGGACCCTGCTGCCTTCCGAATCTGGTGGGTGACCGCAGCATGACCTCAGATTGGTCTCCCGACGTGCTGCCCCGGCCCTGAGTGTGGGAGGCGTCACTGCCTTAAGCGGTCTGCTCTTGAACCTGCGCAGAGAGGACTCCAAGTGGGGACTGAGGTGCTCTGACTTAGCAGCTTCCGCTCCAGAGCAGAAAGACACGTGGTGCCGTGGAGGGTTTCCCACCGGTTTCCCACCGACCACCTACCCCGCACTTCCACTGGAAACTATCTTCCTCACGGATTGTTATTCTGACACCTTGCAATTCTCAGTCATTCAAGGCACTTGAATGTAACAAGTTGGCAACTTGTTTCTCACCACCTTTGCAAGATATTAGACAGGGTATTATGCACCACAGAGAAGGGCTGTGGGCCTGGAACAGCGCTGGGGGTGGGGCAGGGAATTGCCAGGGTCCACTTCTTTACAGTTTCTTTTCAATTAAAAAAAAAAAAAGGCTCTCCCTGGTGGCACAACAGGTTAGGACACAGCACTGCAAGCCAGCCGCAGCCCTCCAGTGCAGGTTCGATCCCCGCCCTGGAGATGACCCACATGGCACAGCAGGCCTCTCCTGTCTCACCTGCTGCTCCCCTCAGCAGTGTACTTTGTTGATCTGCTTGCTCCACTCCCTGCTCTGCCTCTGGTGAATCTTCTTACTGGCCCTGCACCTCTGGCCTGTATCCTCTTTTTAAAATCTTCAAAAAGAAAAAAAAAAACTTCAAACCCAAGGCAAAGTTATAAAAAAAATCTTGGTTGTTGATGGACATTGCCTGGGTGAGATGTTTCAGGATATTTTTTATTTTATTAATAACTTGGTTTTTTCTATCTGATTTTATTACAAGAATGTAGTAGATAATATATATATAACCTACAAAATATATGTTCATCAACTGTTAGTGGCATCAGTAAGGCTTCTGGTGAAAAACAAGCTATCCGTTAAATTTGGGGGGAGTCAAAAATTATAATCCTATTTTCAGCTAAGCCAAGGAGAAGTGGTGGGGGGCAATTCTGTGCTCCTAATCTCTGAGTTCAAGAGCAGTTCCAGAAGAAGGCCCTGGTATAAATGGCCAGGAGTGCTTGTGAAGACTGTTGGTTGGTCACCCCCCACCCCTCAGGAGAAGGGAGCTGACCGAGAGACTTTAGGAGGAAAGGGGACCACTTAGAGGGCCAGTCATCAAGTCAGAAGTGTGGCCCAACAGGAAGTGAGAGACTCTTCCCTCAGAGGTCTTTTGGAAGTAGGCCAATCTCCACAGCTAAAAGTCACAGTCTTCGGTTCTGGGCGTTCAGTCTTGTGGGACCTTTTTTTTTTTTTTTTTTTTTTAATTTATTTATTCATACAGAACTGGGGTGCAGGCCAGAAATGCGGAGGGTGAGAGGATTCACCAGAGACAGAATGGGGAGCAGAACAGGCAGATCGACGAAGTACACTGCTGAGGGGAGCAGCGGGCGGGTCAGGAGAGGTCTGCCACGCCATGTGGTCACCTCCGGGGCAGGCGGGAATCCAACTCATGCAGAAGTGGCTTAAGCTTCTTAGTGCAGTGCTTTAACCCGCTGCGCCACCAGGGAGGGCCGTCTTGTGGGACCTTTTGACTCCTTGGGCTCCTTTTTAGGGTTCTAGGTCCAAGAAAATGATGCTGCGTATGAGATTGACCTTTTTTTTTTTAAGATTTATTTATTTATGCTTACAGAACTGGGGTACAGGCCAGAGGGGCAGTGAGAGGCTTCACCAGAGACAGAGCAGGGAGCAGAACAGGCAGATCAATGAAGTCCACTGCTGAGGGGAGCAGCGGGCGGGTCAGGAGAGGTCTGCCGCGCCATGTGGTCACCTCCGGGGCACTTAGGTGGCTGCGGCCAGCTTGCAGTGCTGCGTCCCAACCCAGTGCACCTCCAGGGAGGCTCAGGATGACCGTTTCGGAATCAAATCGCAGAGGGGCTTTTTCAGTTATCTTGGGAAGGTTAAGATCTTTCTAAATCAATTTTCATGATGCAAGTCCAGTTGAGCTGTGTGCATATGATAAAGATAATCCTCGCACATTGTTTAACCTAAAAAATAAATTGCTTTGCAGTCAAGTGGCATTTTCTGTGTTATCTTTGAAATAGCCATAGGGTGGAAGATAACGTCCTTTTTTAATTTGCACTGACAGTTTCACTTTTGGTCTTCAAGTTAATCCTTTTCAGACTCGGTGTTTGGTCTTTGGCATCCCCGCTTTGGCTTGGAGTTTCTACCTGAAATAAGGAAATTCTCAACTCACTTCCTTCTTTTTTTTTTTTTTAAGTATTTATTTTATGCATACAGAACTGGGGTACAGGCCAGAGGTCCGGGGCGGCAAGACGATTCACCAGAGACAGAGTGGGGAGCAGAACAGGCAGACTGATGAAGTCCACTGCTGAGGGAGCAGTGGGCGGGTCAGGAGAGGTCTGCCGCGCCCTGTAGGTCACCTCCCAGGCCAGGGATCGAACTGTCACTGAGGCGACTGTGGCTGGCTTCCAGTGCTGCATCCTTACTTCTTGTACCACCAGGGAGGGCACACTCCTCCTTTTTATTGAAAAAAGAAATGAAAAAGTCCGCTGATTCGGGATGTTGTTAGCTTATTTGGCTCAACAGGAGTGGCAAAAATAGTGTAGGAGGGTGAACTGCGTCTGGGAGGTTGATAAGTCTCTGGCCTTAGAACTGGTTGAAAGGAGAATGCCCATGGCCTGGAACTGTGAGCTCTCACAGTAACAGATTTCAAGTCAAAGCTACACATTATAATTAGTCACATTCCCAGAAACGGGGCTCCGACCTTCCCAGGTGAGGGTAACATCTTGGCTTTGAAAAGTCCCAAATCAGGGACTTTTTCATTTCTTTTTTTAAAAAAAAGAAAGGTAGAATCTCTAATCCAGAAGGAGCTGTGTGCCAGACACCCCCAGACACCCTGCAGGCAGCAGCTGGGGGCGAGGGGAGGCTCTGTCCTAGACTCAGCCCACCCTTTCTGACCTCAAGGGACCCACCAGCTAGAGTGCCTTACAGAAGCAAAAAACAAACGAAGAAAGCCAAATGCAAGAAGGTTTAATAATCTCACTGAGCATTTCATGCCTTTGTTAAGATGCTTTGTCTCTAGGTGTTGACACTGTGGGCTGGGCACCTGGAGCCTGGCAGGTGAGGGGGCTTTGGTTGCTATCTTTTACCCTTTTCCTATTCTGTGAAATCCTCTCATCAGAATTAAGGTTTCTTCCCTGGGATTCCAGATTCTCTCTCTCCCGCAGAGGCATGGCTCTCCCTCCCCATTGGCAAATGGGGAGAGGAGGAGTGAGACAACTTTTAAAACTTAATATTGTGTCTGTGCACCTTGCTGGTGCATCTGGGCCCAGAAAAGTGTTAGGAGTTTGTAGGTGCAGGGTGAGAAGCCACATTTAGTGAGTTTGCATGCGGAAGGGCTTCCCCTCCCCTGTCTCAAGACACCCACATTGCTTTCTCATGCAGGCGGCCAGGGATACCTCACCTGGAGATGCGTAGGGGCCTGGCAGGGCTTGGACTCTCCAGAGCTTTCTGTGCCGTTGGCTTCTGCCACAGCTGGGAGGAGGGGGGGAAAGGGGGGGGCGGAGGTGAGGAGGGGCTGCTGACCGGTCAACACAGACAGTAAAGTTGGAGAGAAGGCAATGAAAGAAGTCAGCATCTCTAAATCAATTTATGATGTGTGCAAATCATGTTTTCAAATATTTACAGAGTCTCTGAGGGAATTACATCACTGTTTATAACTGTTTTGATTGTTTTTTATGACTCAGGCCCAGAAGAGCCAAGCGATGTAATTCCTGAGAGACTCTGGCCTGTGTGTGAAGCCTCCCCTCCCCGTAGGAAGTAGGGGCAGAAGGGAAATCGCTGGTGATAAGCCCAGTGCCTGCCAAGCGCTGGGAATTATTCTCGGGCTGCTGGGGCATGGGGGGCCTTCTTCAGGTTACAAATCCTTGAGGGAGTCCAGTGGACACGGAGTGGGCAGGGCGGCCCAGGCCAGAGGCAGGAGCAGCCTCCCAGGCAGGCTTTCTGTCTGCTTCCTCGACGCATAGATAGAAAGTTCCAGTGGAACTCTGGTTTGGGTTTGGCGCTTGTCCTTGATTCTATCCCACGTGGCCAAACTGCCCTGAGTTTGTCAAGAGACAAACTCAAGAGTCCTTATCCATCCCCATTGCTGGACAGGAGAGGGAGGGCGCCCCAGACCCCATGCAGGGAGACTCCTGTCTGTTCTCCGTCACTCTGGGCGAGGCACTGGCGTCTCGGCCAGTCAGCCCCAGAGGCCTGCTCGGGCATCCTGTGGCTGTCCCTTCTCTCCTGCTTCTAGAATAGAATTGAGGGCCCGCACCTGCCACGTGGAGGGGCCGTGTGGCACAGGTGGAGGCAGTGGGCTGCCGCCCGACCCCTGCTCTACTTCTCAAGCTGTGTGACCTTGGGCACTGTCCTTGGCCTCTCTCTGAAAGAAATGGGTCAGTCCTTAGGGATTCGCAGTCGGTGCCTGGCACCTGGTGCCTGGTTCCTTGCAGCCAACAGTTGCTGTTACTGCTGTCCATGCTACGGCATCTGCTCTCAAGGCCTGCCTTTGAAACACAGCAGGGGGCCTCGACACCTTGCAGACCCCAGGTGTCCCGGAGACGTGCGGGGCCGAAGGCAGCTCCGAGAGAAGCGGGAGCTGACCCTAGGCACAGGGGTGCTCACCCCTGGGTGCTTTTGCTGAGTCTGCACTAGGAGCCATTCTTTCGGCCCCTCTAAGTGAGTTCCAGACTGATAAGTGTCTCCCGGGTGGACGATAAAAGTCAAACTGGAGCTTCTAAGGGGGAGACACACTGGGGAGCAGCAAGGGGCCCCCACACAGAGGCCAGGCGCCCGTGCCCTCGGTAGGTGCCGTGGGGCTCAGGCTGCCGAGGGCTGAGCTCCTTGCACCCCGCAGGAGTATCCCCCTGGTGCAGACGCTGCGGACCACCGTCCTGACCACGGCCTGCTCCGACCGCTCCGACCAGCGCGTGGGCTACCTGGAGCACGTGGTGGCCCGCATCTCCATCTCCCACCCGCGCCGCGGAGACCTCCAGATCCACCTGATTTCGCCCTCCGGGACCAAGTCTCAACTTTTGGCAAAGAGGTAAGGCCAGGCGGCCCAGTGGGGTGTGGGCGAGGGCTGGGCACACCACCGGGGCCCGTCCACCCTGATGCCACGCTGGTTCTGCTGGCATTGCCACCCACGTGTCAGCCCTCCCCAGCGTCCTCTGAAGCGCCGTCTGCAGGGCATCCTCGATGACTTTCCTTTCCAGGCCATAGTGACAGGTGTGGGGTTGTCTCGGCATTTCGTGGAAAGAGCTACGGAATTCTGGCCATGACCCAGCTGCTCTTAGAAGCACCTGGATGATCACGAGCAGTCATTTGACACGTGAAGTTGGTGCTGTCAGAGGTGTGCTTTGTCTCCGGGCCGCCTCCTGCTCGGGACCAGGTGGGGTTTAGGACCCGAAGTCAATCGGGAGGCTCCGTCTGGTGGGGGACGCGCTTGGATGGGCCGCTTAGAATTCATGGAGTTCTCACCCACGTGCTGGAGGGTCCCTTGTTTAGCAGAAGCCCCCAGAAATAGCTGGCTTGACGCTTGATGAGGATTGTGGGAGGCTCTGGAGGCAAAGCAAAACATAGAATCCAGGAGCTGAGCTTTGGAGCGTTTATGTGACTTTCAGATAAACCATGCGAAAGGGGTGATGAGAGCTTGGGGGGGTGAAAGGGACTGGGGCCCCTTTTTGGATCTTCCTAGCTGAGAGCCAGAGATAGAACAAGTTTTCGTGAACATACCAACATTTCCAGCTCCTCTTGAAAATCAGAGCTGGCAGCCATGCCACTTCACTCTCCAAAGGCACCCAGGGCTGCCCTGTCCGCTGGGTGTGGCCCCAGTCCCTGCTCGCCCACTCTGGGCCCCCTTACTCATCTGGGTCACTTGCTGGCCCCTGTGGCCCTTGGATCTCAGGATTACGAGCTGGGTTGATGAAAACAAAGCCGCAGGCAGAACCAGGCAGACCCTGATTCGCAGAAAACAGCTTGACCAGCAGCAACGAAAAGCAGACACACGGTGGAAGGGGTGTGGACCTGGGCTGTGTCCTCCACACCCTCTGTCCTGCCTCCAGGGCCCAGTAGCAGTCTCTCTGCAGCCAGCAGATGGGACAGCGGCCAGCTGGAGTAGACCAGTTCTGGTTTGTCCTCACGCCCTTGACCAGACGCTGGATTCCAAGCACTTAACCACCAAGTTCAGCCTCCAGCACGTCCTTGTCATGTGAGAGCCACTCAGGGCATCTCCCTCCTGAAGGGCGACCCAGGCACGTCTGTCTCTGCCCGTGGGAGTCCAGCCTGGGCACAGTTTGAGGGCAAAGCTACAGCTGGATGCTACTTTGCAACCAGAGTTGTTTCTTTTATCACTCTCACCCTCACTATTGGAACTTTTAGAAAATGCAGCTTAAATGTCCAAAATTCTAGCTGTCCCTGAAAATTTTGAGGCTCCTCAATATGGATCCCACTGTCCCTGTGCAGACACTGGTCTGGGGCTGGACAAATGGGCGGGTCTCCCCCCACCCCGGTCCCTCTCCTCATGCAGCACCCAGACTGCCATGGTCTCCACGCACCCCACTCTACCAAAGTCACTTTACTCGCCCCTGTTTGTCCCAGGCTTGCCGCCAGGAGCATCTGAGGTAATGACCCCAACTCTGAGGCCAGGACTCAGTGCAAGGGCTGACGGGTGGCCTGCATTAACCCAGAGCCTTGGGTGGACTTAGAGGCAAGGGTGACCAGTGGCAGGTGGCAGTGACCTGGAAGGACCCACATGGGCTTTGCAATGTAGACTTGCCTCTACACCCAGCGGCCTCCCTTCCCAGCCCGGCACTCAGGAGCTGGCCACTTCTCTATTTCTCACCTGTGGAAATGTCATTTACTGTCGTGTCAATCTGAGGTACTGCAAACCCTGCATGTGGTAATCTGATGGAAGTGCTTAGCCACGACACCTGCCACAGGCAGCTGACTCTTCCTGCCCTTCTTGCCTCTGACTACCTGCAAGAACCTTCCAGCACCCCAGTCCACCCCCCTTCTTTCTCCCCTCCTCCCCCTGCTCTTTTTCCTTCCCTCTAACTTCCACCTTTCTGCTCGAGTCAGTGTACAGGCCCCTCAGGTGGTGGCGAGCGGTCCTGTGGACCTGGGGAGGGTCCCTGCTGTCCATTTACTAGGCAGCCTGGTGCCACCAAACATGCTGAACCCCGCCTGGGGTCACTGGGCACCAGCTGAGTCTTGGGAATTTGTTTTTTCCCAGGCAGATTGTGTGATTATATCAAGAGTTTGTGTTTTAGGATCTATTACCTTCTCTGTATTTCCTATCATGCTTCATTCAGCAGCTTTTTCGAGTTGCCAACCTTTTCCCTGAAAGTAAGTTGGCTCAAAATACAACTGCCCTGAGGAGACGGCTTGTGTTTGTTCTGGCTTCAGTGCCTGGGTTTCAATTTGACATTCTGTGTGAAAATCAGCCTTGAGTTTTTCGAAGCAATCCAGGGTATCTCCTCACCCCACCCGAGCCCCACTATTCCCATGCAGATAACCTTCCCTTGATAAACCATTTTTAAACATTAGCTGTCCAGATACCCCCGAAGTGGAAATCAAACCTCAACATCCCACAGTACACGTACATCTGAATTTCTGTGAACAAAGAGCCCCTGCGTTCTACAGTTGCTTTTCCAAAGTAGAGACAGAAAATTAGATGGTGGAGGAAGAGGCCGAAACTCCTGGAACTGTCACTTCTACAAAAAGCAGGCTGGGAGGGCAAGATGAGTCTCTTCTGTTTCTGCCTGAACCAAGTGTGAGTAAACAAGATGGCGGCCAAGGCCAGTTGGGAAGGAGCGGCCGCCTGAAAGGTCAAGTCTGCAAGGGAGCTCCTCCTGCCTCCCCAGGCCACGCCCAGGGCTGCTTCACACCCACAGCAGAATATAGCCCACCCAGATATGTCATCTCCCACAAACACAGCTATTGAAACCTGTTAAGCCCTGGAGTGTCAGGGTCGACGTTTTTCCCGAAGCTTGAGCACTTGTGCTTTTTTCTTTACTTGTATCCTGGCAAGAAGCGCCCAGGAGGGCTGGCTCTGGCGTTGTGGAATCTCTTCATTTCACAAGCCAGCACTTGGGTGAGGCTTCCTTTGGGGCAGGTGGGGGCTCAGTGGAAGCCCATGGCGCCAAGCCCCTGTCAGTATCTCTGGGCACGGGATCATGGCTCTGAGGGATGCTTCCTGGCATAGGAATGCCCCCTGGAAGAACCTGGGGGACTGAGGGCATGTTTTGGACACTTGTGGACACTGCTGGTGACTGAAGAAGGTAGGACAGGAGTCAGAATGCCCCCATGCCAGGGGCCAGCCAGTTGGACCTGCAGAAAATCACTGTGCCTGGACTTTCCAGCTGTTCATTATCGTGGAGAGGAGAGATCTCTGAGTCCCTTTTGGGTGCCCACCTCTTGGAACATTTGGGAGACCCCATGAGAAAATGGAGGTGAAGCTGACGGCCATGGCTGTGTTGTAAAACCAGAGCGTGGAAGTAGTTCGAACTCACATTCCCACGTAGGCTGAAGTCAGGCCGCTTCTGCCCCTGGATGCACCAGAGGGTGGCGCCGTCCGCTGGGTAGTAACTGGGGGCAGGAGCGTCCCATCCATCAGCCTGCCCTGTTCCCCGCGGCTGCTCTCGTGATGCTCGTATTCTGACCCTGTGTCTCCATTACAGATTGCTGGACCTCTCCAATGAAGGGTTTACGAACTGGGAGTTCATGACTGTGCACTGCTGGGGAGAAAAGGCTGAGGGGGAATGGACCTTGGAGATCCAAGACATGCCGTCCCAGGTCCGCAACCCGGAGAAGCAAGGTCAGCGGCTCTCAGGACTGTCCCGGAGCCTCTGTGTTTCTCTCCTTTTCTTTCTTTCTTCTTTTTTAAAGATTTATTTATTTATGCATACAGAACTGGGCCACCAGGTCTCTAAGCTTTTCTGTCCCACTGTCAGATTGTAGGAGAAGACTCTAATGTGAGGCTTTCCCAACACTGACTTTCACTGTTGTTTCCTGTTGCCTCCACTGTGATAACAGGCTCACTCTGACCGCTTGATTAGAGGAGACTGAGGGATATTTGGAGTGGGGCAGAGGGACAGAGGCAGGGGGACCAGTAGGCGGTCCCTGCAATGTGAGATGGAGACTTAGACAGGGTGGAGTGGTGGCAGTGATGGTATGCAAATTAGCCATGTCTGAAAATGTATTCCGGAGGATTTGCTAACAGATCAGATGTAGGCTCAGAGAGGAGAGGGCATTGATGATTCCAGAGTTGATTTTCTGCCAAGTGGAAGAATGGATTTCCAACTTCATTTGTCTGGAATATTGCCAAGGAGAGAAATCAGGAACTCAGTTCAGGGTGGATTAAGTTCATTATATCTATGAAAAATCCAGGTAGGGCTGTGTACCTGGAGGCCAGGGGCAAGATCTGGGCTGGAAATACACCTTCAAGTACTGATGGCAAGTGCTTGTGTTGAGAGTGCAGGCAAGCTCACCTGGACAATGAGTGGAAATCCTCTGGGGCCCTGGAGGCCAAGGACTCTGGAAGCAATCTGTTTCCATGGCAGTGACTCCTCAGTGCTGGCACAGGGCAGAGCTTCAGGCTTGCCTGGGGGCTCAGCACTGATGTCACGCCATGCAGTTCTCCACCCCTTCCGGCCCAGCCACTGCAGCCACCTCAGCACCCCCTCTCCTGCCTGCATGACACGGGCCAGCTTGGCCCTTGCCTTTGATGCTGACACTTGCTCTGTAGAGCCTTGTCTCTGGTTCCCTTCATGTCCCCAACGCCCCCTGTGTCAGCTCATGACGCACGCACAGTAGAAGTTTGGGGGAGGCAGGAATGCAGTGGGAACCTGTTGTGGTCCCATGTGGCAAGATGCTCTGTGTGCACAGAGCATCTTGATGAATACAAGGGCCACTTCCTGAGGGGACCCCCCCCAGTTTAAGCCCTGACACAGGCCAGTCTCTGTCCTTGGGCATTCTTATAATCTGGATCTTTGGCTGACTGAAACAGGAGCAGACTAAACATCTGGTTTCTTCCAACTCTGACCTTCTGTGGGTCTTGGGGTCACATTCACATTCTTAAGTGTGGTCACAGAGTCTGCACATTGCTGCAGTGGCTGGTGGAAGCATTCCCCTGCAGAGACCTGCGGGCCCTGGCGTGGGCATGGCTAAACCAGCGCAGGCAGGTAGCCGGCCCCAGCCAAAGCACACGAGTCCTTCTTTCTGTGCTGGGTAATGAGGACCGTTCCTCTCTTGACCCACCCACTCAGCACAGCCTGTGTGTCACTTGCCTTTGATGCTGACATTTGTTCTTGCCTTTGATGGTGACATTTGCTCTGCAAGCAGATGTCTACAGGCAGGCGTTAGCAGGCATTAGCGCTTCCTCCCTGAATGCAGCTGGAGTTGATGTTGCCCTGTTGTGAGCATCTCCACAGTGGGGTGCGGGGGAGACACGAGAACTATCTCGCAAGGGGTCTGCCTTTGGGAGCAGGGCGCGCCCCAGCACTGACATGAATAGGCAGGTGGCATCTTTGGGACCTCGGCCTGGGAAGGTGACTTCGGGTGGCTGCGTTTTCTCACCTCAGCGTTTCAGAGCCCCAAAGAAACACAGACTGGTGGCCGCTGGGTCAACACAGTTGGCCCTGAGGGTGAGACTGAGCCCCAAGGGCATGCCTTCCCCTCAGCCCAAGAAAAACGCAGCAAACACAAAGGCGCATGCCCAGAGGAGCAGCCTGCTGGCCCGTATTCTGCGGCCCAAGTGTTGTTTCTGTGTTTATCTCAGTGCCCCTCAACTCCCTGCAACTTAATTGCTTTTTCAAAAAGACAAAAAGTCAAAAAAAAAAAAAAAAAGACAAAAAGTCAGCTCCTTTGCTGTGCTGTATACAAGGGCTTCCAACATCAGAAAAGATTAGGGTTCGTTACGCAATGACGTCATCTGAACAGTGGGCTGGTTCAAATCGCGCTCACTTCCTTTCGGACTGAACTTGGCCCACGGCATTAGTTTAAAACTATCTTTTAAAACCCAAATTGCTAATCAGTCATCCACTTTTCTCTTTAATTCTTAGGCCAAAGGGGTGTCTTCTCCTAGAACCACTCTCCTGGAGTGGGGGTGAGTGGGGGGGCACCTCCTTCCCCAACGCCAAGCTGGAGCTGCGTCAGTAATGGCTGTCGACTCTGCCTGCACTGATGGACAGGCTTGGGGCCACTAGGCCCTCGCTCCTCAGTGGGGACGTGTGTGGGGCTCAAGTGTGGGGGAGCAGGGCTGGCCAGTGAGCACAGCATCTGGGGAGGGGGCAAGCTGAGTCTCCACAACACCCCCTCCCTGCAGCAGGAGCTTTGGGGGTGTCCCTGAGGCACTACCGTGTGGTCAGAGTGGGGCGTTCGTCTGGCAGCACAGCTTTTGGAGAAGTATGGCTGCACCTAAGAGAGTTTCCATCCAGAAGGCTCAGACTTTTCAGTTGGGTCCTAAATGCAGGGAGCTTCGTTTCCTCACACCCCACCCTGGCAGGGGCAGGCCTGGGGCAAGACCCTGCCCTCGCTCTCCAGGATCTCTGGGGTCTCCCTTCAGGCTGCTGTAGCAAGGTGCTGTGGAGACGGGAGCTCACAAACAACAGTTACTTCTCCCGGCCCTGGAGACTGAGTCTGAGTGAGGCCTGGGCACGGCCAGGGGCTGGGGACAGACACCCTCAGCTGCGGATGGCCCATCTCGTCCACGGTGTCCTTGCTTGGTGAGAGGGAGAGAAAACTAGTTCGCTGGGGTCTCTAATCAAGGCACTCATCCAGTTCTAAAGGCCCTGCCCCTACTGACTCATCACCCCCCAAAGTCCCAGCCTCCAAGCAGCATCCCTTTGGGGATTTCGACACTGGAGTTGGCAAGGGGACAAGCACTTTGTGCTGGAATGCCATCTGGCCTCCATGCCCGGCTTCCCTTCTGGAAGACAAGGGCGCGCACACATTCCCTGCAAGGGGGCCAGGCTGGGGTGTGGAGGGTGATGACCGGGTAGAGTAATTGGGGGGGCCTCCCCAGCCTGCCTCCCCTCGGTGCCCTAGCGGTGGCCACACCTGGGGCTCAAGGCCAGCCTCACTGTGCAGGTGCACGTCCCCTCAACATCCCCTCAGCTGGGAGCGGGCAGCACTTCCGGGAGACTTGGGGCTCCTGCAAGGAGGTGAAGGCAGGTGCAGCTGTGGGCTCCTCCCTCCCCTGCTCAGCTGACTTGCCTTTGTGCAGCGCCAGGGTGCCTTGCTCAGTGTCCCTCTTATTCATTCGGTGCGCGCTTACCTGGACCGTGCACCTGCCACCGCCAGGTCTGCGAGGCGGCACGGGCTGACACGGCATTCTCACCCACCGCCTCTGCAGCCCTTCACCCATCATCACCCTGAGCGCCAGCTCAGCGTCCTTCTGGAGAGCTCCACCTGCCCGAGGGGCTCTGAACGGGCAGGCTCAAGCCTCCTTCCAAGCGCCTCAAGCCCACTGCGCAGCAAAGGCATCTTCCTTGCAGGGGGAAGCTACACTGCATCAGGGTTTAAGAGGAAAACAGAATCAAACCTGCTTTCCCAGCTCTCTGTACGTGATGCCATGTGCTTGCGAGGCCCATGGTCAGGAACTATCTGAGACAATTGATGGCATTTTAAAAAATTCTGTCATTGTCTTCAACTTTTTCACCCTGATGAAATTTCTTTCTTTCTTTTTTTTTAACTCCTTGTCCTTCTGTTTCCTAGAGTAACGGCCTGCACTGCAGACTTGCTCTTGGTTTCAGGAAGCTTCCAGATCCCCACCCACCCGGGCAAGTTCAAAGAAACTGGAAAGGAGAATGATGATAACTAGTGCTTACATCAGACACTGGCCGTTATTTTATCTCATTGCTAAAAATCGGCATAGAACCAGGGAGTCCTAGTCATAGATAAGAAGTTACAGTTTGATTTCATGGCTGGTGTTGGCAAGCGAAATATAATGGCATCTGGGATTTGTTTGAAAATCTGCCTGGGAGGGGGTGGGGAGAGCAGATTGACAGTGTGGAGGGCTGGTGGGACTCTGTGATGCAGACGGGGAGCCGATTGGACTGATTCCTCAATTTTGTGTTTGTTTGAAAATTTCCATTATGCAAAGTCCCTTAAAATACAAGGATGACGTCATTGCTTCTGAAGAGATCAGGGCAGAGGGCTATCAGAGATGAACAAAGATGCAGTTGTTTTTGAGGAAATACACCTCAGTTCTTCATATGTGTGTGAGAAAAATGTTCAGTATGCCACCAGAGAATTAGTTTCCTTGGGCTTTCTTACCCCCTGAGAATAAATCTATCTAGGAATCCATCAAAGTAATCACCTCCTGTGTGCATGAGCGGGTATTATGTATTTGTGTGTGCATGTAGACGTGTGTGTAGGTATTTTGTGTGTTGTGTGTGCATGCATGTAGGGTGGGGGTTCCATGCATGTGTTGGCTTATGCATGTATTTGCGTGTGCATACATGTGTGTGTTGTGTGTGCATACGACTGGGTGATGTGCGTTGTGTGGGTGTGTGGATGTGGTTATGTGTGTTGCGTGTGCATGTTTTCAGGCTGGTGTCACATGCATGTGTGTATGTGTGTTCATGTGTGGTGACACAGCAGTCCCGAACTGATGTTATTCTCTCAGTCCTGTGGTCAATGATTTCACTGTCTGGCTTTAGGATAGTTTTGGATGAATTTTTTTTTTAAAGTATCCTAGTCATGACAAGGTAAAAATCAAGTGAAATATTAAAGACTAACAGGGGCCGTCCACTGGGAGCATCTGGGGTGTCTGAGAGTGACACAGACAGTGTCTCACCTGAGAGGCTGCCTCAC